TACTCTCGCTGTTATCTCACACTATACACACGTTATATATAAGTATCTACATTTGTGTTCACCATAGCGAACCACTAAGCTGGTATGGTGAGTGCAGTCAATAAAAGGTGGCCACACACAGTCAGAAGACAACGCCACCACCCTCCCTCCCACAGCATTACTCCTCCCTCCATGGAGCACAGCGCTAAATATCACCACAATCCTGCTGTTATCAGAACCCTGGTCAGTTTTATCACAGTCAGGGGTCTTCTGTAATAATATCATCGCTACATAATAGCATGAACAAGTATATTATGGCATTTTTAGGCGATGCTGTGGTCACAAGCTGAACAGCAGTACTGTGAGCTCATGCTGCGTGCGTCAGGCTTGGTAGCTGACTCAATACTGAGGCCCCTAACACCCGGGAGTTTTGCCCACGATTTTTTTTTTAAATGGCGTCTGTTTACAAGAGCTCTGATGAAGGTGTGGTGAACTCCGTGTATCCGCGGGCCGTTTAAATCTTGCGTAGTACTCCAAAGCATCACATGATGCGATGCGCAATTTACTGCAAGTTGGTCAAAGCATCATATGATGCGATGCGCAATTGAAGGGTTAAGGTGCCAAGGTCATGGGAGTTCAAAATTATTCTACTGAATGAAACTTTAATGGTTATATGTACTGCATAAGACCTCCAAAAGGTCCAAATTTCAGGTATATAACCCAAAAGGAAGGAAAGAGAAAAAATATATATGCAAATATATTAAACAAAAAAATGTAAAATCTTATAAAATTTATATTTCACCATAGCATTTTTAGTGTACTGAACTATCACAATAGCCCTTTCTTTATCTTAATAAAAGTTGACTCAGTCTGCAATATATATGTAGTTTGCCCCCAAAAAATATTTACATGTAAAACCCCCCCTTTCCCCCCTTCCAATGAATAATTATGAATTATGAACACTGAAACTAATTCAAATAATAAAAAACAAAACAATTGACAGAATTGTAGAGCTAGAAACTGTGTGTATAATATGTAGGATTCAAGAGAATCTGTTAAAAACTGCACCCGCCACTTGAAGTTTTAGGCGCTAAAAATACATTTCGAGATGAGAGGGGGGAGAACATGGCATTGCTTACGACGTCAGCCTTTTGCTGGGTTGTAAACATTGTTACGAGGCGTAGTGGACTGTGTCGGTATCTGAGATGAGGATCACACAATGACCACTGCCGCGGGTATTTGTCCCACACACTTGGGTGCCACTGATCGCCCTGGGAGCATTTCGGTCAAACCACAGGTGGAACCGCTACTTGCGATTTGGCCTTGTACCCACGGAAGAGTGAAGGAAGACTCGGTACTAAACACAAGACGTTACATCTGCAGCCACAGCACTTCCCACGAGTCTTGCCTACCATAACACAGGGTCACAGGTCACCTGTCGCACACCTGTGTCACTCGACTACTTATAAGGTCGCCAGCTGGGTTTGAAACTCTGCATCCCAGCAATGCAGCTCTGGCTAAACTGTGTCGCCAGACAATAGTATGTTACCACAATCAGTGTTATTCAGTGTTACCAGCCTAGGGTATGTTTCCATGAACATCAGTGTTAATCATGGTTACCAGTTACTGGGATATTTCCAATAATAATAATAATAATAATAATAATAATAATAATGATAGTGTGATGTATATAGTATCACTCATAGAATGCTCAAAGAGAGATGGAGGGCACACTTAAACACATTAGTAAAAATGACATAGTTTTCTATACTAAGATCTACATTAAACATGTAAACGAAACAGGCATAAAAACATATATATAGGAATAAATGAACTGCAGAGCATTGGCAGTTCTCCTCTCGCCACCTCTGACAACTCGGACAGCTGGGCAAATTTAAAGGGGGTACTCGGACCCTCTCTAGGGGAAGGGGGGGTTGGCAGCTCTGTCGACGTAGTCCTCTCGTCCACCAACACTGCCACACACGTTTCTACGCTGTCTTCTCCAGGTAGTAGAAAATACTGACTGACCTACAGCCTACTCTAATACTGGTACTTATATAATGAAAAATACACTAATATAAATATATAAACTGAGCCTATCTAGCCCAGTCAACACGGGGCAAAGGGAAGGAAATAATGATCTACCTTAAAACATTCCTGTCCACTGATGCCTGTCTACCAATGGCAGAAGGTACACGGTTCCCAGGTCGTTCCTCGGCGTTCCGGTTGCGTGTCACAGGTAAAAGTGTAAGTGTAAGTTGCGTGTTGCGAAGTGTAAGTTCCGGTTGCGTGTCACAGGTAAAGACACAAGACGTTGATGGTAGTCCAGGTTTACCTGAGGGACGAATTCAAGCACCTCAGTGCATGTTTGTTTGCCCCTGCCCTTCAGTGGGATGTTGGCATGGTTCAACTTTGTGCCGGTTCCCTCCCTTTTGGCTGCACTGGTGGCTGAGGACTTGCGCATTCGTGGCCTGCTGGCTTTGGTCTTGTGGTTTTTTCCCTCCTGGAGCTGTCTTTGGATTGGCTTCAGGAGGATGAGGAAGCGCTGGGGGCCGTTCCTGGATCTGGTGCCTTGGTCTTGGCGGCGTGTGCGTCGTCTGTGCTGCTGAAGCTGTTGCGCAAATCCTGTAGGATTCAGTGTTGCAGTTTTTCGCTTCGCGTCTCGTGTGACAGCAGGTGGTGATCGCTTCCTTGTTGGAATCTGCTTGGGCCTTGGCTCTTTCAGTTTTCACCCCCTTATTATCCCTTGCTGTTTGCGGAGTCTGCGGTTGGGCAGTTTCTGCAGGCAGCCTCTTCTAGTTGTCGTATGATGTCGGACTTTTTGGTTCTTCGGGGATCCTGGGGGGGGGGAAGGGTTCCTCCCGGAAAGGTCGTGCCTGGGCTCGGATTTCTCTCGTCGTGGTAGGCCGCTGGTGCCAGTTTCTGGGCCTGGCGCCGTCTTTGGACCCAACTTCGTTGGGTCCAAAGGACCCAGTGATGGACCCAACTTCGTTGGGTCCATCACTGTGCCGGCACAGTGATCGCTCTGAGCGTAAGTCAGGTTCTCGCAATGGGCGTAGGCCCTTTCGCTGTTCACTCCATTGACGGGGCGATGGGAGGGGAGGCTCACTGTTCACTCATGCCCAATCTCATGATTCGTGGGCTTTTCGGGTAATTTCCGATGGCCTGCGATGGTGTTAGGTGGCTCCCTTCTCCTTCGGAGGGTTTGGGGCTGGCGTGGCAGGTTTCTTCTCCTGCACTCTGTCGGGTCATCTCAGAGTGGATACGCTGAGGCGTGGTCGAAATGACGATGTCCCTCAGGTGGGTTTCCCATCTGTTCCCAGTCCTGAAACAGGACTGTGAGCACCTGTGGTTCATTCTGGACTTGTCCTGTCTGAACCCCTGGGTTTTTTGTCCCTCTTTTCGGATGACTACTGTCCCCTGTCTGTCTTCTGTTGGAACTGGGTGCTTGTATAGCATTTCTGGACCTCAGGGACATGTATTGGTATGTCTCGATTCATCCGGGGTTCAGAGATTGACTCGGGTTTGTTGTGGGGCGTCTCGGTTACCGCTTTCGTTATCTCCCATTCGGGTTGAACCTGGCACCTCGCCTGTTCACATGCCTTACCGGGTCATGGTAGCCCGTCTGCATCTTTTAGGTCTTCGGGTGCTGGCCTATCTCGACGACTGGCTGGTCTAGGCTCCCAGCCAGTCCGTGTGTCTGATCGCGAGGGATTTGGTTCTTTCCCAGGTCGCCGGGTTTGGATTCCTGCTGAACTGGCGGAAGTCCCATCTGGTTGCCTCTCAGGTTCGAATTTGACTGGGTCTTGTGTGGGACTCTTGGTTTGCATCCTTCTCTCTCCCTCCGGAGTCTCTGCTTCGTCTGCGCTCCCGCCTTTGCTTGTTTCTGGGGGGTGCTCCCGGGTCACTCGGCGGTTGCTTGAGGGTTTGTGCAAGAGCCTGAACATTGCCGTGATGGTCTACCTGGTGGGTTGGGTTGGGTATGGCTGTTCTGGTTTCTTCGGGGACATCCCTTCTGCCTCTCTTGCGACCGCTGGATTTGGCCTCCGGGGCCTTACATCGGCTGCTACGTCGTCGGCTTCCTCTTCGGGTTTTTTGGGGTTCAGTGCCTTGGCGCCTACCCGAGCCCTCGCTCGATGTGTTCACGGATGCGTAGTCTCTGGGCTGGGGACCAGTGCTCACCGGGCCAGCCAGGGGCGGTGGAGTCCGTCCTTCTGTAAACCCACAGCACGGTGCGGGAGTTCATAGCAGTGTGGATGTTGCTTCGGAGGGTTCGGGTTGCTCGCGAATCTACGATCAGGCTCCATTCAGACTGCTCTCCGGTGGTTCATTGCCTGGACCGATGGGGGTTCAATGTGGGTCCTTGGCTCTTTGGGGCTGGTCGCTTCAGGTGACTTCTGCTGAGTTCTCAGGGTTTGACTCCTGGCTGTTCACGTTTGGGGGGTGTCCAACGTCCTGGCAGATGGCCTGTCTCGGTTCATTCCCCTATCCTCGGAATGGACGGTCGACCCCAACTCATTCAGTTGACTCTGCCGGACGTACGGGCTCCCGGAGGTGGACCTCTTCACATCGGCGTGGTGGAGGCATCTCCCGGTATATGTGGCGCCTGCATCACTGTGCGCACATTTTGATTTGTATGCTATACCTATGAGTACCCTGAGGTGCTCTGTGCACCACCGATCTAGCACCTCCAGGTGCTATGCGCAGTGCAGTGCAGTGGTTAACTCTTCACCACTGTTCACCCAGCAGTAATTGGACTCCTGGTTGTTAACAGATTGGCCAGTTTGTGTTTCAAGGAAAACTAGTGGGTGAGGCTTTCCGTGATATATGTGAAGGAAAAGCGCCCAGCCTGCTAACAGGTGTCAGAAGTAGTCTGCTTCTGTACCCATCTGTGTAAAAAAAAAAAAAAGATGAATTTATTTATTGGATAAGAATGGTTGAATTTGACTTCATAAATAACATTGTCAAGATCATCATTGTGGGAAAAAAAATATTTATCATATCCATTTTTTTTGGTTTAGGCCTGCTCAGCTAACAACAGTTGGAAAGAGAGCTGCTCTTTGGATTCAAGAACTGCTGATGGATGAAAGAGCCATGTCTCGGGCACGGGATGACCTACGCTTCCGAGGGGTCAAGGGCACAACTGGCACTCAAGCATCATTTCTGCAATTATTTGAAGGTAACTTTATTGCACATAGTATGTACTGTCTGGGGTGGGGGGGGGGATGGCCCTTAGGTGGTTCCCTAAAGTTGTGTTGCAGAGATAACTTTGCCTTACTAAGTTGCATCAATCATAAATGGCCTGTGGCCTACTGGAGACCACAGCCAGAACCTGTGAAAGCAATAAAATGTAGATATGACAATAAAAACAATTGCATGGTTCATGAAAATGACACTTAAACAGCCAGTAGATACCGCAGAAGATTCACTCAAAAGGAAATGTTTCACTTGAAACTGGGTATGAAACACACCCTAGTGTGCAGAGCTGCCAACAGGTGGCATCCATGAGCTTCAAACTTCAAAGCCAGCAACTGCTCAGTCCTGTTGCTGATGCCAGATATTCCATATCTGATCTTCCCAAATTGCCTCATAATGGCAAGTACTACTACTTTAAGATAAGTGATGGTCATCTTTTGAATTCTGTCCTGCAGGGGGGCCATTTTGCTAGTACTGTAACCCCTTGATTATCCGGGATTCAAACATCCGGAAAACGCCCTTATACGGCCAAAATCGTGAACGGATAAAGTTATCTCAATATCCGGCCAAAATGTCCATGGGAGCCGGATAAAAGCCGGTTTGGCCGGTTAAAAATCTGAGCCGGTGGGCCTTACCGTATTAATCCCATACAGCTGTGGCTCAAGGCCATGGTGTTGGAGGGGGTAGGGTGGGTGGGTGGTGTCGGGAGAGAGGGGAGCGTTGGGAGGGACCACCTGGGGGATTACGGTCAGGAAGGGAATTGGTCAAGGAGGGAGGAAGGGAGTTGGTCAGGGAGGGAGGGAGGGAGTTGGTCAGGGAGGGAGGGAGGGAGGGAGTTGGTCAGGGAGGGAGGGAGGGAGGGAGTTGGTCAGGGAGGAAGGGAGTTGGTCAGGAAGGGAGGAAGGGAGTTGGTCAGGGAGGAAGGGAGTTGGTCAGGGAGGGCTGAAGGGAGTTGGTCAGGGAGGGCTGAAGGGAGTTGGTCAGGGAGGGAGGAAGGGAGATGGTCAGGAAGGGAATTGGTCAGGGAGGGAGGAAGGGAGATGGTCAGGGAGGGAGATGGTCAGGAAGGGAGGAAGGGAGTTGGTCACGGAAGGAGGAAAAACTATTGTTGTGTGTATGGGACTCACTTAATAAGCCTAACGAAGGAAGGTGGCGTTGGCGGTGTTGCAAGAATTATATTGTTTTCTTATTGCTGTGGAGAGCTAGTTACACATATTAATTAAATAACACTATAATAGATGAACAGTACAGTACAGTATTTTGTTTGCTATTTATTCATTTAAATATATACAATAAAATAAAATGGGATTTAAAAGAACGCATATGTTTAGTCATCGTACAGCGTGTCAACATCCACGTGTCTGTCGACACATGTGGAGGGGAGACGGGAAGGCTGGCGTGATGTGGGGGAGGGGGGTTGACCAGGCAGGAGATCACACGTGTCATCTGTCTCTGTTCCAGCTCACCCACCTGTTTACCCACTTGCCTGCACACCCACTTACCCACCTGTTCACCCACCCACCTGTTTACTCACCTGCCTGCACACCCTCTTACCCACCTACCAATCCATCCACCCACCTGTTCTCCCACCTACCTGCACACCCACCTGCCTACTTAACCCACCCACCCACCCACCTGTTTACCCACATGCCTGCACGCCCACTTACCCATCTGTCTATTCACCCACCTGCCTGCTTGCCCACCCACCTGCCTGCTCACCCACCCACCTATTCACCCACCTGCCTGCTCACCCACCCACCTATTCACCCACCTGCCTGCTCACCCACCTGCCTGCTCACCCACCCACCTATTCACCCACCTGCCTGCTCACCCACCCACCTATTCACCCACCTGCCTGCTCACCCACCCACCTATTCACCCACCTGCCTGCTCACCCACCCACCTATTCACCCACCTGCCTGCTCACCCACCCACCTATTCACCCACCTGCCTGCCTGCTCACCCACCCACCTATTCACCCACCTGCCTGCTCACCCACCCACCTATTCACCCACCTGCCTGCTCACCCACCCACCTATTCACCCACCTGCCTGCTCACCCACTTGCCTGCTCGAACCTGTTCACCCACCAAGCCCATCTACCTGCCATCCACTCATCCAAAACCCACCTGCCTGCCCACCCACTTTCCCTGCCCACCTACCAGCTAGGCAGCTAACCACCCATGTACCAGCCCCACACACTAATTAGTGTGTCAATTCAAATCATGCGTGTGGTATAAAAATTGTCGGAAATGGTCCCTTTTGGACTCAGAGGTGAAAAAGTACTATTATCCGGAACATGTGATAATCCGGCTGGGGGTCCTTCCCATATAGTCCGGATAGTCGAGTGGAGACAGTACAGTGTGGCCTCGATTTACGATAGTAATTCGTTCCCAGCGATGTATCATAAGTCAAAATATCGTAAGTCGAAGTGATTTTTCTCATAAGAAATAAAGGGAATCGAATTAATCCGTTCCCCACCCTCCAAAATATTAACTTACAAATACATTTTATACTGAATAAAATTTTTTTCTCTAACTACAATACAATACACATGTTTATCTTACCTTTACGGAGGACCCTTGATGGCGTATGGAAGATGGTGATGAGGGGGCGAGGAGGAGAAGTGTTATTGTTTGGAAAGAGAGTCCCCTTCCATTATAACATCAGGCAGTGATGAATTTTCTGGGATAAACTCTCTGGCATGTTTTGCCTGCATACCACTAGGACTTGCTTGTGGGTCACTGCTTGCTTGTCTTACTAAGAATCTGTCTAAAGACACTTGTTTTTCCCTACATTTTAACACTTGTCTGTAGTAAGACATCACATTGTCATTTAAAGGTCAATGCAATGGCCTGCTACAGCTTTATCTGGGGGGAGTTTTTTCAACAAAACTTTGCAGTTCTTCCCATACTTCACACATTTTCTTAATGAGGAAGGTACATCCTCTACTGCCTCTACTCACAACTATTTTCTTAGGTTGAACCTTACCACTGACTTTCTTGGGACCCATGGTGTGAGATATAATAATCAGTTTTATGTTCAAAAAGCAAAAAATCACCACAAAAACGGAATTTTTTTAAAGGCGTGATCGTCACTAAGCGGGCAGCTGCACTAAACTGAGGCAGGTCGGCCTGTGTGACTGGGAACCATGCGCTCGGTCGACCCGAACATGTACCAACAAATATCGTCAGTTGACAACACTATCGTAAGTCGAGTCGCATTTTTCGATCAAATTTACATCGTAACTCAAAATTATCGTAAGTCAAGGTGCCACTGTATATCATTCCTAATGTTGGGTATTTTAACCCTTAACATGCTCGGGGTCTAATATCCTGCTATCCACACAGGTGCATGTCATTTTGAAAAAAAAAAAAATTTTTTTTTTTTGCTAATCTGTTAAGTTCTGTTCACTGATCACGGGAAAAATAAAAAAAAAATTCTATTGTACTTACTTTTGTTGCAATAGAGCCGAGAAGCTCTGCGATGACATCACAATCTGCATGGTCGCTCATGCAGTACACGCCCGGGAGATGTTGCGCGCGGTCCTCAAACAGCCAGAGTTGCCACAAATATATTTTCGCGCTATTTATTTACAATGTCTAAGCGCATTTTATCTAATTTTTTTTCACTAATTGTGTTTCAAATACTGTTTGAACATATTTTGTATCAATAATTGTTGCATATTTGAGTATACACAGGCGCACACAAATGTTTTCAATTACGGCAATATAATATGTCATTACAGTCTATTATATTATATGTTCTGCTTATATGTTTACATATTTACACACTCGCACACGCTATACACACTTTGAAGCACACTTAGAAGATTTCTAGACTGTGGTAGTCATTGAAGCAGTCGACAGCACATAATGGGATACCACACGTTTCACACCATGTTTGCACAAGCTTCCGTTTCTTGTCTCTACGTGTCGTTGTTTTACACACCAAGCAATCACGTTGGGCTATTGCACGCTTCACACCAGGTGGCAAATACTTAAGTTTGTGTGCTAGGAAGCCTTCAGTGTGAGCGAGGCGTGGAGTACCAGCATGCTGCAACAGTGGGTTTATGATGGGCCGCTGAATACCTGGGACATCTTTTGCAAACTTTCCTAATAACTGTATTGCAGCATCAAATACAAAGTCACGGAAAGTGGGCTTACGTCCAGTTCTCACAAGGTACATGTTGAAACAGTTCAGCATGCTCATGTCCACAAGATGGAAGAACACTTTTTTCGTCCACCTACATGTCTTCCGCACACACTCTGCAGTGCCAATCATCATGTCTGATTTATCAATCAACCGCATGTTGATATTATAGTCTAAAACACAGTCTGGCTTATATAGTGGTGCGTTTGTTTTATGGCTCACTTTCCCACTGTTCACCATTGTTCCATCATGAATTGTTGTCAACAAGTTCACCTCTCTTTTGTCTTTCCACCGAACTGACAGAATGTTATCACTTTTCCTTCTCTGACACTCACCAACTGCAATGTCGTTGTCAAACACAGGCATTTCCCTTCGTTGTGGCTTTACTGTACCAACCAATCCGGTTCTATTTTCTAGCAAGAACCGAGCTAGCAAGGGACTTGTATAGTAATTATCTGTGTATAAAATGTGTCCCTTGTTCATCCACGGAGCCATGATGGTCTTCACTACACTCCCCGAGAATCCATGTTCGTTGTTACCGGGAATGTCTACATCACTAGCCGAGTACAGAATCATGTGTAACACGTATCCTGTCTCACAATCACAAAGAACAAAAAATTTCAGGCCAAATCGGTTTCGTTTTGAGGGAATGTACTGTTTGAATGGAACACGTCCCTTGAAAAGTATGAGAGATTCATCAACCACCAGCTTCTGTGCTGGTACGTAAAAATCTCTGAATTTTCCAATAACATCGTTCATGTAGTGCCTCACTCGCCACTGTCTATCATCAGGTGTTCGGTCCTGAACACTTCCAAAATGTAGACACCTGAGG